CACTGCCCCAGTATCGCCATCAAAATTTTCACCCCTCACGTGATGATCGACCAATAATAATTTACCTCAGTATTGCTATCAAAAACTCATCACCACATGATTAACGCGTAGTAATCATTATTAATAATACATACAGTATTAATTGTTTTTTAAGAGTAATAAAGACAAAAAAAATTTTTTCCTTATCATCGCTTTAATAAAATTTATTGTCATTAAAACAAAATGAATTTAAGTCCCTCTCTAAATAATATTAATACATGGCAAGATTGCTCCGGATGTGAAAAAAACCTTCTTTTAAATTCATTTATTACTAATAAAAAAACTTTTCGCACTTGTAATACATGTCGTGTTCAGAATAAAGTAATCAAACAGCAAACAAAAGCTCAAAATCAGAATAAAAATTCTGAAAAGGAAACAATAATTGAATTATCAGATTTGGATGAATATTTGATACAAATATTTGATTCGTATGAACATAATAAAGAAAATCAAGAAAATAATACTTCACTAAAGTTAGAATTTTCTTGTACTATAAGCACTTCGACATTAGATGGAAATTCTAAAGAACAAGCAGATAAAATTATTGAAATAATATCTAATATCGATGATTATATATGGATATAAGTTGATAATTTATACTTATAATTATAATAATTAATTATACTAATACTACATATATTGTAATTTAGATATCATAATAAGTATATTTCAAAAAAATCAAATTCAATAACCTATACTTATTATTGTTCTCAGCGTGATTGTTTAATAGAAAAGTCAAAAAAAAATAATGATTTTACAAAGCATCGTGACAGACAACAAATGGAACGTTTTTCCTGTAAAGGATATATTAAAATCATTATTTTCCAAGATCATCTATTATCTAATATAGAGATGCATCATTGTTTACATTCTGTTCGATTAGATAATTCAATTTCATCAGAAATTAAGCAATTTATTTTGGATAATATTGATTTGCTTCCACGTGAAATTTATAAACGATTAGTTGCGCAAAATTTAAGCATCAATATATATCAAAAACAAATCCATTTTTGGTGGACAGAACTTGGAAAAAGAAGATTTCAACGTAATAATAATTCTTTTTTGTCAGCACAAAAATGGTTAAGAGAAAATTCCCATCAAATTATATTTCAAAAAGAAGCACCGCAAGCTATTGGATTTTTAACTGGAATGTGGGATATTTTTAAAAGTTTAAAATTTCAAATTAATGAAATTGGAGTTGACGCAACATGTAACTATATTTTATTAATAATTAATTTATTTATTACTATCGCTATATAAATTTATTTATTAATTTTATTTTATAATTATAGATAAAACAAATAATTTAAATTTTGAATTATATGTAGTTCATGCTCAAATAAATGGAAGTGGATATCCTTTAGCTTACTTATTTCTTGAGAATAATGGAAACTGTAGTAATGGAATTCGTACGGGCATGCTAATTGATTTTTTTTGTGAATTACAGATACTTGGGCTTAATCCTGAATTTTTTTTAACAGATAAGGATTTTGCCCAAATATCAGCTGCACGATTTGTCTGGAAAAGTATTAAAGTACAATTATGCTTATGGCATATCAAACGGTCTATTGAAATCAGACTTTCGAATAATGTAATTCCAAAACAAATAAATTATAATGGTCAAAATGCACACCAATACTTTCAATTTATTGATCCTAATTATCGTCCACAACTTAATAATATTGTAAATTATAAATTTTGCCCTAAGGAATTTCGAGACTCTTTATGGGAAATAATGAATCGGCACTTACACCAGCATCCATTGATACCTACATCTGATGGTCAATATTTAACTGCACAAACAATCTGGTTTACAGCAGTACAAGAAATTTATAATTTCTGTAATCAGCATAAATTACCCTTTCTTTGGGTCTATTTATGGAATGAATGGTACGGTCCAGAACGATGGGTTTTATGGCTACGTGCAGGACATGATACAAAAATTTCAATTCTTAAAACAAATATGTTTGTCGAAAGTCACTGGAAAGTAATCAAGCGTGACTTTTTATATAAATTTTTCCGACCTCGTTTAGATTTGGTAACTTATATTATCATGACGCAAGTAGTTCCACAGCAACAAAGAAAATTTTATCAGATTTCATCTGGAATTGAAAAGGAATTATGGCGCAAATCATTTAAACGAGAATGGAAAAAATTAAAATCATCTACAATTCATAATACATATTTAACAAGTCTTTCAAATTGGGTATGTGGATGCCCTTATTTTGCAACAAGTCGCTTTTTTATTTGTAAGCATCTTGTGCAACAAAAAGGAATTGTAGATGCTCAATTTTTTGATCAAGTTTGTCGACACCAGCAATATCCCTTAATTAGTACTTCATTACCAGAAAATAATATTAATTTTGATATTAATATTGAAAATTCTATTCATACTACTACTATCGCTATATCTGAAATTGCTGAAGATGAAGATATGGGGACTTGTGATGAATTATATGAACATCTGATCAATGTAACAAAAAATGCACTCAGTATTCTCGAAGACCAACGGAGTAAAAAAAATTTAAGATGGATTAAAAGTGTAAATAAAAACTTCAAACCAGTAGAACAAATGACATCTGAAATTATTTCATATAAAAGAAGAAGAACGATGCCCCGAACATTCAAAGATCATACGAATAATACTTTGTTTTATGATTAAGATAATTTTAAGGTAAGATAAATGCTATTTTATTTAACTCTATTCATAATCAATAATGATTTATATACTATTTCTTACTTTTAATGAGTTTTAGGTTTAGCGATGCTGTATTATTTTATTGATATAAATACTTCATGGTAAATATTTTTCGTAACTTACAAAATTTTAGTAAAATAATTTAATTGAATTGTAATATACATCTTTTTACTATTTAATCTTAATAGCTCGGGTGTTCTTAAAGTTGTGTTTTTTAACTGCTATTATATATCAATATATTTAGAAATATAAAGTTGGTTTTTGTACAATTTTATTTGTATACAGATCAATAAAAATAAAGCAGCGCATCTGGCAGTCTTCTTAATTTTCTATCATCTTTATTTATTGGATCTTTCTACTTGCTATACTAGAAACTTTTTAATATTTCAGATTATCATATTTTTTCTTTTAATCATCTTAGTTAAATCTGCACTAGTATAAATTTAATGAAAAATGTGCTAATAATTAGTTAAAGATCTAAAGAATAAAAAAAATTGGTTCAGTGGTTGTCAAGAACCCATCAAGAAACATTCGCTTAAAACAAATCTATCCCAATAGTTATTCTTTAATTTTTTTTAAAACTTTGAGTGAAGGTTTCTTAACAACTACCTAATCAATTTTACTGAATTTTTTTTTATTTAAATTCTACAAATATGTAGAGTTTGAATAAAAAAAAAAATAATCAAAATTGGTTAGGTGGTTATTGAGAAACCTTCGCTCAAAGTCAAAGCAAATCTATCTCCGCAAACTGTTATTATTTAATTTTTTTTAAAACTTTGAGCGAAGGTTTCTCAACAACCACCTAACCAATTTCGATGAAAATATTTTTATTTAGATTCTACAAATATGTAGAATTCGAATAAAAAAAAAAAATCCATCGAAATTGGTTAGGTGGTTGTTGAGAAACCTTTGCTCAAAGTCAAAACAAATCTATCTCCGCCTATAAACAAATTATTCTTTAATTTTTTTTTAAAACTTTGAGCGAAGGTTTCTCAACAACCACTTACCAATTTCGATGAAAATTTTTTTATTCAGATTCTACAAATATGTAGAATTCAAATATAAAAAAATTTTCATCGAAATTGGTTAGGTGGCTGTTGAGAAACCTTCGCTCAAAGTTTTAAAAAATCAACTTACTTGATAATTTCTTATTGGTCGATCATCACGTGAGGGGTGAAAATTTTGATGGCGATACTGGGGCAGTG